CTGCCTAAATGTACAGTGAGGTTGTGCTGGGAGCACCTAGCAGAGGTCCCAGTCCGCGAGATCTTTAACTCACACCTGCAGCAGAGCTTCAACAGCATTCTGCGGGAGACTGGGGACATTGAGTCCGAATGAACCATGTTCAGCATCTCCATTGCCGAAGCCACTGCACTGAGCTGCGGCCGCAAGGTAGTTGGTGCCTGCCATGGTGGTAACCCCCGAACCAAGCGATGGACACCAGAGGTGAGGGGAGCCATCAAGCTGAAGAAGGAGTCCTTTTGGGTTTGGTTAGCCTGTGGGACTTTGGAGGCAGCTGATAGGTACCGACAGGCCGAGCAGCACGCAGCAGTGGCTGAAGCAAAACTCGGGTGTTGGAGGAGTTCGGAGAAACCATGGAAAAAGACTTCCAGACTGCCTCGAAGAGATTCTGGCAAACTGTCAGGCGACTTAGGAGGGGAAAGCGGTGCTCTACCTGCACTGTGTATAGTGTGTATAGTATACAAGCGGCGGATATGGGCTTCCTCCAAAGGGTGGCTGGCCTCTTCCTTAGAAGTAGGGTGAGAAGTTCCGCCATCCGGGAGGGGCTCAGAGTGGAGCCGCTGCTCCTCCACATCGAAAGGAGCCAGTTGAGGTGGTTCGGGCATCTGACAAGGACACCTCCTGGGCGCCTCCTGGGTGAGGTGTTCCGAGCATGTCCCACCAGGAGGAGGCCCTGGAGCAGACCCAGGACACACTGGAGAGATTATAGTTCTCGGCTGGCCTGAGACTGAAGGAGGTGGCTAAGGAGAAGGACGGCTGCTGCCCCCGTGACCCGACCCCAGATAAGCGGAAGAAGATGGATGGATGGAATTTTACTATTAACAATAACACAGCAGAAATAAGCATATAAATCGAAATCAATCAATGATAACAAAATAATAAAGTAAAGTGAGAAGAACAGATTGACAGACATTTGGACTGATGTTGATCAGTGTTGTTGATGTTGACTGATGTATTTTTATTGGAACTATGCAAATGAAGGCATTAGTGTGACACTGCAATGTACACAGTTTGCCTTTGGGCAAAACAGATCAGGTTCCTTATTAACAATGGCTTGTTCATAAAGTTTGAAGTCCTCAATGTGAGGTCACATTGAGCACATTTTATTTCTACTTCACACACACAGCTTATTTGGATGGATTAGGAGGTCAGAGGGAGCTGGGTCATTGCTCTAAGGAGCCAGCTGCTCAGGGTCTAGCAGGCAACCACCAGTTCTTATATTTTCATATAAAGAGCTATAGACATGTTTCTCTGTCAAAATAGTGAAACTGGCTTGCATCCAAGGTAAGAGTACAGCCCTTAGGCCATTCTCCAACTTTAAAGAAACCTTCGCAGTGATGTTATGTTCTGTTGCCAACTCTTTAAACTTTATGAAATGCTTTTAATTGAACTATATTATGCAATATGGAGATAACTTTCTGCTTCATAATGTGTAAAACTACAGACCTTAAATATATTGACAGTTATGGTCCTTGGTCTTTAATCCAGAGTTTTGAACTTTCTGTCTTTTTGGTTTCTTTTGGACTTCAAATGCTATTACATTCTAGTTCCCGTTTGGTTTTGATCTTTAGTTTATTTTATTTCCCACTGCTTTTGAGTTTTGTTTCCTTTGCTTCTAGTTCTCACTTCTTTTTCAGACGATCTCACTCACCTTTCATGTCTTTTCCGTCCTAGTTTCATCTCAGTCTTTTGTCCTCATGTGTCAACTCTGTCTTGTTTACCTTTCTGACTTTGTGTCAAGTTTGCATGTTTGATTCTATGTTTCAGGGTCACTTCTGGTTTTTAAAAACTATTTGTGATTTTAATAAGGATTCATTTTAATGAAGATAACATTTTTGCCACTGTGCTCAGTTTCTCTTTCTGGAAATAACCTGGAGAAAAGTCTTTCTTTTGAGAAAATGTTATTAGGAAGTGATCAGACAAATGAGGGTTTTCAGAAAACAGTTAAATGTCCGGTTTCTATGCCGTATGTCAGATCTAGAGTGTGATTAGAGCAGTGAGTGGGTGCTTTTACATTTGAAAGAAGTCAGTTGAGTCCAAAAATACATTAAATGCCATATTTGGGGCTTCTGACAAATTACTATATCTCAAGGGTTTTGATTCATTTAGACTAACAAAATTATTTTACTGTAACCAGGTATCTGTAAGTCAGCATACACAAATTTGCTGATCAATTATTAATTTATGTACTTGGGGAGCAGACACAGTCTGTAAGGAATGCGTTTTTGGTGGGATAACAGGAGGAGAGCGTTAACAGACATGGAGGCTGGCATAGTTGTGACGCCAATAGATGTCATCCACAGGATCGGCTACCCCGAAGACGTAGGGTACGACCAAATTGCATACCGAGTAATCATTAGATTCCTGTCCAGAACAGCATGGATTCCTATGGAGGGGATCAAACAAGTGCAGTTACTCGAAGAACGTCCGGCTCAACTTTAGAAAGAGGATCTGGCAGTTGATGATAGAGAAACCCGAAGCAAGCTGTGGCTGGCTGTGAAGGAGGCAAGGAATAGAGGAGACAAGGTCTAAGATCAAAATATGATGATAAGATACTATACCGTGAATGCCCTATTATTCCTTTGATAAGCTGAAAAGATTTAATTTACTTAATTTCATAAGGTAACGGACGTTGGTTATAGTGTCGTGGTCTCGCACAGTAACTGGCAAAGTTGCTATCTGGGAACTCTGCCATCAGTTTACTATCAAAGATAAAATGATGGATATATTAATACAAACCAACAATCCTGACAGACCATAAAGCAGTCACAATTGGTTTGTTAGAAAATGTGGAATTCCAATGTGAAATCTTGAGACTACAAATACTACTTATCAGCAAAGACTGGACACAGAGCAAAACTATTTAACAGTTTTGGAAAGTGCTGGGAATTCATTACATCTGAGTTCACAAATTTGGCAACATGGCTTTGTTTTTTGGGGGGTTCTTTAGCAATCAGAATTTATGTCTGAAGGCCAAGAAAGATGCACAACGGATTTACTTTGTGAGGTGGATCATCATTATTTTATTTTATTTTATTTTATTTTATTTTGTTACAGACAGGACAGACATTACTGGGGGACAGGAAGGGAGAAAGAAAGATTGAAAGGTAGGGAAAGAAAAACAGAGGGGAAGAGGCACAGTGAGAGAAGACACACAAAAAATCAGCTGGATGACCTGTTAGAAGAAAGAAAGAAAAAAGCAAAAGGAGAGCAACACAATAAACACATCACTGCAGCAATAACCTAGATAAGTATAAGTAACAGTAAATACTAAATATTGAATGTCATTGTGCAGTACACAAGACCGACAGCACACAATGTGCTTTGAGGTAGGAGCCAAAAAAAATAAATAGTGTGCACACCTGTGTGCACACCTGTGTGCGTTCTCCATGTAACGATCTGCTAGAGGGTGTGGGAACCATAGGCCCGTCCCCCAGAGCATGAAGCAGGCATGGAGGAGATCCAGAATAAAATAAAGAATAAAGAATATATGAGAATAAAGCTAGAGGTGCATTTGTTAGATCTAAGAAGAAATGGCTGTTAGAAAAGTGCATAAAATATTTCTTTAATTTAGAAAAAAGGAACTTTTAAGCCACGGCACACCTATGATTATGCCTGTATTACTGACCCTTGTATTCCAAGAGCACAAACACAGAGTAGCCAGCAGTGCTAGTTCCAGTCATTATGCAAATGTACTATTTATTATGTTGGGGAAACCTGCATTAAGCTGAGACTGAAGATGTCACTTGGATGAGTGATGAAGCGTTTCGTCCACATGAACAGAATCAACTTTTGGGGGCTAACCATTTGTCTTTTTTCAAATTTACACTATCCATACCTAAATGAACAAAAATAAATAAACATTTTTAGTTTCCTGCCTCTTCCTGTACCACTTTTTCTCAAACTGCTCATAAGCTTTCTCAAACATATGCACCATTAATTAAATTAAAATTTATTAGTATAACATCAAATCACAACAACAGTTGCCTCAAAGCTCTTTATATTGTAAGGTAAAGACCCTACAATAACACAGAAAAAACCACAACAATCATATGACCCCCTGTCTGCAATGGGAAGGGAAAAGTCCCCTTTAACAGGAAGAAATCTCCAACAGAATCAGGCAGGTCTGCGTGACCGGTTGAAAGTAAGGGGAGGAAGACAGGACAAAAACACTGTGGAAGAGAGCCAGAGATTAATAACACCTAATGATTAAATCCAGGGTGGTGTACAAACACGTGAGGAGTGAAAAAGGTGAGTGAAGGGGAAACACTCAGTGCATCATGGGAATTCCCCAGCAGCCTACACCAATAGCAGAGTAGTCTGAGTTTTCATTCATATGCATCCAGCAGAGTATCCGACTTGTATTTATCAAACTCCAGCATCGGCTCACTCGGGCTTTCTCTCCGTGTTTCCCTGACACAATGATGAGTTTTCTTGTCAGACCTCAAGCCAAATTGACAGGAAAACAGGACGACAACTAAATGCTGTTTAAAAGATCCATATTCAGTGTTTTCACACTGTTAATCCATGTGCTGTTCAATCATTATAAACGATCTTGCAGTTTTAATATATCAGCCACTAGTTTATTGACTGTCACCATGCAGTGAGGCTGCTACACTTTATGGTGTTTGTACATACTGCTGGTTCAGGGGTGTAGCTCGCGAGGTAGAGCAGTTCATCTACTAATTGGAAGGTTGATGGCTTGATCCCTGACTATTGCGGTCTGCATGCCAAATATCCATCGTCAAATGAGTTTGATTTCTTCTCGAAAACCACATAATATCTTAAATCACATATACCACATAGGTCAAAAACAAAAAATAAACATGTAGGTCACAAAACCTACAGCAGAAGCACAACACTTAAATTCATTTGTTTGTAGCTTCAGATCATTGACATTAAACAAACATGGGTTTGTGTTAATGAACAACTTGTTTAATGTACAAAATGTAGATATGCTACATAATGATTATCAAAAAAAAAAAAAGTATTCCTTGGTTCACAGAGAAAAGAGTTGTGCTTCAGTGAATCAGCAACATGGTCCACAGTCATGATGGTGATGTGTTTTCCATATTAAACTCTGATCGAACTCTGCTAGCAGAGAAGCGTCTTTAAGTTTCTTTACAGCAGGAGTGTTCCTGATCCCTAAAGTGCAGCTAAAACTCTAAGGAAACTATAATCAAAGAGGTTTTAATATTACTCCAAGAAAGCAACTGAGGGATTAGTAAAGAGTTTTATTGTACATTTAAAACTGAATAATAAAAAATAAAATCCAGAGACAGAAGAAAATCTTCCAGTAAAATTGGGGCAAAGATTTAAGCTCATAACTGAAATCCGTGGACGAGGGTTCACTTTTCTGTCATTGTTCAGTTTGTGTGAAAGACTCCCCCTTCAGTCAGCTTTCAAGGCATAAAAGATGTCATCCTGGCTGACGTTGAGTCGGATGCGCTGCAGGACTCCCAGGTGACTCGGTTCCAGCAGCAGCAGCCTGCAGGCTCCCAGATGCTGACAAACAGCCAGACCCTCCGAGACACCGATGGGCCGAAGACCTTCAATCCGACAGAGAGCTTGGTGCTGCACGAACACCTGGCATACAAAACACAAGGGGACCTGATGTTGCATTTCAAGTTGAGACACAGCACTCCAATTCCACAGTGCAATGTGAAAGTGGACTGTGTTAAAATGACACAATCAGCTACAGTTGTTATCTTTATGTGTAGCCTTTTAAGCTTATAACTGTAGAACATTTGGGCTGCGTCTATCAATTATTGTAGTAACAGAGTAAACTATTGATGTTTTTTGTGTGTGTCAATCATCACACATTTTGTTTGAGGGAAAAAAGGTTTATAAGTTGAAACATTCATGGAATTGGCACACAGGCAAAGAGAGCTAAAGCTGCCTATTACAAGTTTTAAATCCCCATTTAAAAAAAAAAAGGTCCTACTTTTAACGATTTCTGTGCTAATATAACCCTAATTAAGAGGATATCAGGTTAGTTAAGTAGCTGAGAGGGTTAATTCATTTCAGCAGGTTTAAATTAAATTAACAAGTGCACTAGAGGGGTAACAATGAGAAACCCCAACACAGGGATGGTTTTGCAGGAAGCGGAAACTGAAAATTTTCCCTCATCTTTTCTGACCAGCGTACTACTGGTTGCATGGCACCCTCTAGTGGTCCCTATGCTCAGTGCCATGGAGCAAGACTGGCCTTTGCCATAGAGAACCAGAACTGGCAGGTACATAGATGCTTTTTACAGAATACAGCAGGCTCATTCTAAACACATGTGACAAACATAAAGACTGTGGAGAATCTGTACAGAAAATTATGCTGCCTGTTACATCGTTCAGCATGACTGATGGGTCATGCTGAGGTGGACCAGTGATGGTCTGGTAAAACACAGGCATGGAGGGATGCACAGACCGCTACAGGATAGGCAACAGCCCTGAGGGCCACTAGGTTTTGGGATGAAATCATTGGGCCCATTGTCAGACTCTAAAATGGGGCAGTACCAAGGCTTATTTAGAGAGAATATACAGGAAGTTATTCCAATGCAACATCCTCTGGATACTATGCAAGCATTACTGCCATTGTCACTGAAATCTACACGCATTTCATTCTTTAGGACACTGCAGAGATCTCTCTCATTCACCTCCAGTTAACGACGGCTGGAGCTGGGTAAGCTGAAAGCCCAGTGATTTATCATCATAACAGATGAGTTTTCTCCTGCACCACCTCGGTCAACATGTGTGATGTAGAGATAGAGCGCACAGAGATAGAGCGCACAGAGATAGAGCGCACAGAGATAGAGCGCACAGAGATAGAGCGCACAGAGATAGAGCGCACAGAGA